ATTCAAAAAAACAAAAACTGATCTCTTACCGAAATGTGAGGAACTTCTCCACATCCTTCAGCCATCTGCGGTTCAGCACGATCTGTGACAGTGCCACATGTGCTTTAGAGCCAGTTGGTACAGGCTCTTTAGTGCCATCATCCCCCAAAGGACCATGAAGGCATCTACCCAGGTCCCACTCATGCACGCCACTAACATGGTGCAGTACACCTCGCCAAATGTCCTAATAAGCAAACATAAGAAACTGAAAAGGTATAGTGAAAATGAGAAGATAAATTCTAGTTCTACTTTACTTACCATGAACTCTTCTCGGCTGCTTGCATGCTGACAGGCATACCAAAAATGGTTAACAATGTCCTTGATCCACCCAAGGATTTGTTTTTGACCTGCTAGGACACCCGCATATCAAAGTTATTAGTTTTGGTTATGTCTATAAAAAATAATTGAATGAGAAACGATATGAACTATCACTTACAGCATGAAGCCTCTTAGTTAGATTTTTTGCAGCATGCCAGACATCCAGGGAATGGGTAACTCCATGATCCATATATCTTCCCCGTTCTGGATCTATTATAAAGCTCAAAAATGCAGTAAGCACAAAATATAGCACATCAAATAATACAGACAAAAATACTTTGCAATTTGCACATGGGCGTCAGTCACAATCTCTTTGACTTTTAATTCTTTCGTGAGATCATCAAATGTTTTGATGAACGCTGCCTTCTCCATAGAGACACTTTTTCCACCAACTTGCCTTTTATCAACATTGACAACACTGATAATGTCCATTGTGTCAAGTTCCATCGTTGTGTATGTGCAAAACGTTGCAGAATGACCTTGTTGAATCAAATATGGTGAAACACAAAGTAATACACAATAACTATGTTGTAAAGTGAAAGGCTTCAGACTTACCTGGTGAGTCCATTCTCCCGTCAGCTGTAACAGATATAGTACTTATAGTGACTGCAAATACGACAAAGATTGTCCTTTAACACATTACTTACCAAGGGCCACAATGCCATCTTTTGACTTTAATCGAGTTACAATAGACAACCTCTTCTGCTCCCAAAATGCCTTTATTTCAGGTACGCAGTAGGAGTGTTGAATTTTGTAATAAGTTGTCGTTGAAACCATCTTCATATTCATAAATTTGAAGAGGAGGGCAATCTTAGCAAAATTATTACCACTCAGTAATAAGTTGGCAGATAACATAAAATCGCCTCCTTGCATCCCATGTCGAAGTACAGGTTGACTGTTCCACATCCATAACTTGTGTCCATAAGAGCAGAACTATGGAGAAAGAAACAAATAACTTTTACTAAATGTATAACTACACATTTTGCCTACCCTAAATACCAATCTCTAATTTCAGCATTCACTCACCCATTCCAATATGATTGATGTGCCCCTAGAACGTGATTGAACCGAAAATGGAGGCCGACCGTCACACTCAATACCAGAAACCGGATCGCTGTAATGGCATTTGTTGATGGGCAGTTGCAGAAAATTAGCCATTTGCAGCAAGCTAATAGTATACGCTATGCATGCGTGTTGGTGCACTAGGTCAGTTTCAGCAACCACACGAATTGGCTTTGGGAATGTTGATATGTCCTGCTCAGACTGATCCTCAAAGTCCTCTGGTTCTCCGGGATTTTCTGGGTCACAGATGTCCAACACAGCTTCTTCTATGCCGAGGATGGGAAGATTGTCAACTTCTCTTTGAATTGCAACACCAGCACTGAAAAAAGAACAATTTGATGCTTTTTCAAAAAACAATTAGGGAAGGACTTCCATTATTTTCAGGACAGAACATTTAATAAAAAAAAACCTCAAAGATATAGGTGGGACATATTCCGAATCTAATGGATATGAGGCCAAATCTTCATCAAACTCAATCCTGTGAAAGTAAACAGGTCATATTTTAAAACAATCAACAATATATTTCTTTTTAAACATGTTAAGTAACTTACACACTGTCTTCTAGATTGTTTGCCCGTTTTTCGTTTAACCAAAGATCTGAATGTCTACAAAAAACAATAAATCATATAAATAAACGACCTAGAAATGAGAATACAATGTACATCTTAATGTGAATGCATGTCTACCTTTTCTCCAAAACCTCCAGCTCTTTCTCCTCTTTAAAAGGCTGCACCCCTGCCACAGATAAGTCATCCCTGTTAAAAAATACAGTTTGTTTCAGTGAAATTGTCAATAAGGCTTGAATCAAACATAATGCCAATCCCATTTTTCTGGGAAAAAAAAGTACCGGTCAGATTCTACGGGACTGATTGAACTCGGGAGATCACCAGTCGCAGTAGTGGTTTTAGGAGTTGAGGCCTTGGGACTCCTTGATGCCATAATTTTTTCATAGCTATAAAGTAAATAAATACACGTTACCTATACACACATGCATCTCATTGTATTCCAGTTGGACTAACCACATTATATTACTAATATAGTCTGCAATTCTACGATACATATAGTACAGGTACTGAGGTACATAATCACTGCATCTGCAAGTTTCATAATGGTTTACATGCACAGTAGCAGCCCAATAATGTACACAGCTGTACTAAGCTAACAGATGCTAACGTTCATTCAAAAGCACTAATCAACGTAACAGTCATTATTTCTAGACATTCTTCATACAGAACAAAAAAAATGCTGAATGTGTCTCGCCAATCTGTTACTGTTCAGAAAAAAACCGAACCAAATGGAATCAGTCCATGTTGCTAAGTCAAAAAGCTAACACACAATAATGCTATATCTCTTCGTATTGGTGCAAGACACTAGGACGTTTAGAACTGAGTCACCGTCTTACCTTCTAATCAAGATAAACGCCAAATGAGGATCATTTTTTATCCCCAGAGCGTTTCGGAGACTTCTCCATTTCTCAAACGCATGGCCGAGAGCGACTCGGGTCTGAGCTCTCCGCCGGTCGGCCTCTCGCTTCGCTCTTTTCGTAGCACTAGTGACAATCTTTTTTCTCTTCGCTTGGCGTGGAGTTCCAGACGGTGATTCTGAAGCTGGTCTCTTAGAGAAACTGCTGAATCCATCTTCAAATACGCGTGATACGAGGACGGGACAGATCCACTGAACGCGAGGGAACATATGGAGCCAAAACAGTGAACGGGCACGCGCATTGCGTCACTTCCGCTTAAACAGCGCGCGAGAAAGCGACCAGAGTCAGGGATTTCTCAATCACTGTATGCGCTCACAGAAGCAACCACAGTGAATCTGCTAATGCTCAGTTTACACACCAGGCAACTGCTGATGGACCACAGATGCAAAATATTGCATTATGGCATTTTTTAACTTACGCAATGCACCTGTCAAAATTATCGTTTTGACTCACGTTAATTACATTTTTTATTAACGCGTTATTTTTTTTAAATACCCGCCCATTTATCCATAAGAATATCACTCAGAATGCTGCGTGTGAGATGGCCTGCTCCGTGGCCGCTCTGGTTGTTGTTAGCGGCTGTGAGTGAGTGCGAGCTTTGCACGGTCTGCAAGCATGGATCTAGCTATTATAATAACAGCAGCAAGCGATTGCTCCGTTCACATACTCAGCGCTCTGCGCACTGTATTTTCCCTGGTTCTTGTCTGTCAGGCGCGCTCTGCGCACTGTATTCTCCCTGGTTCTTGACTGTCAGGCGTGAGTGTTGCTCGTGTGTGTCTTTGGGAACTAATTATTTTAAAATAGTCTCTTTCTATTGCAAGTTTTGTAATCTGTTTGTTTGATCAATGGATAAAAATAAATGCAATTTAATTAAATGGCACCTTGGCCTGTCTTATACCTGTTTGCCTGCAGGACAGTTCCCTAAACTAACATATCATACTAAAATAGGGTGGGGTTGTTGCAACAATTAATCTACTTTGAAGTTATCCTAAATTACAGCCAGCTAAAGCTCGGTACCACGACAAACGAAAAAGTAACGCAATAGTTACTTTTACTGCTAACTAGTTACTTTTATAGTGGAGTAACTCAGTTAGTGAGTCAATTACTTTTTGGTAGAAGTAACTAGTAACTATAACTAATTACTTTTTCAAAGTAACTTACCCAACACTGGTAATTATATTTGATAATCTCATTTAACTTCAATTGGAGTGGATTTGAAATAGAATGTTAAACATGCGATTAATCGTGAGTTAACTCACCATTACTATGCGATTAATCAACTAAAAAAAATGAATCGTTTGACAGCCCTAGTATATATATATATATATATATATATATATATATATATATATATATATATATATATATATATATATATATATATATATATATATATATATATAATTTGAACCGAGAATAGAACACATCTTTCATGTCATGAATAAAAATAAAAAATCCAAACTTTTGGTCTGTACTGTACCGTTTACATGAGATGAGCACTTACACTTTCAACATGTCTTTTGTCCTATTAGATTTATTTAATTGATTTTGACATGACAAGCTATAATCAATCATGATCAAATATGTGTGTGTGTGTGTGTGTGTGTGTTTGAGCATTTACAAAATCCGGGTCTACGGTGTGCTCCCCCTCAACCCTGATTAGCATTTGTATAGCTCACAGCATTGCCATTTACATGTTAAAGCCTCCAAATTTAAAAATTCAAAAATACAAAACAAAAACACCCAAAAAAAAAAGGCAGCAAGCTCCAAAAATACAACACCTTCCAGGTATCCAGACTTCCGACTGATGCCAACCATCAACAACGCATAACTCCGGCAATCAAATGTGTAATAAATAAAAAAGCCCTTCCCAATGCAAGCAATTTAGTTACAGAAATATATAAATGTCAAAAGCACACATGCACCAATAATCTTAACAGAAATTCCGAAAAACATAATATAACACAGAAAGAAAATAGCCAGCTAGGGAATGTCAAATTAGCACAGTGGTACATACCAAATAGTTGAATGTCCCGTGGCTGTATAGTACAATCTCACCCAGTGTGAAGCCCAGGGTTAATCTACAAATAGGTACGTTTTATGTTTGTCTCATTCTCCGATGGGTCTGGTCGTCAATGTACTGTTGCGCCTCTTCCACACTGCTCATCCACTTCTTGTTTCCGCTCGGCAGAGTGATGCGGAGTCGGGCTGGGAAGAGCAGAGCTGGCTTCATTCCCTGCTTGTAAAGTTCCGCCATTACGTCTCTGTATTGCGCTCGCTGAGACACAACTTCAGCACTGTAGTCTTCAACGATCCGAATCCTTTGGCCACGGTAGTCAAACATCCCTTTACGGCGTGCTTCTCTGATGATAAGTTCCTTCGTTTGGAATCGATGCAGTCGCATAATGACCGGCCGCGGTCGCTCTCCCGGGCCTGGTTTAGCGTTTAGCGTGCGGTGCGCCCTGTCAATCTCCGGTGGGGAAGGGAGAATATCTTTCCCAAACACTTCTTGGAGCCACAGTGGGAAAAAGTCTGTAGGACGAGCTCCTTCAGTAGATTCCGTCAACCCGAGAATTCGTATATTTTGACGTCTGCTTCGGTTCTCCAGGTCCAAAACTTTCGCCTTAAGCTTGGAGTTGTCCTCGCGGAGAGCGCAGCAGGCGTTCTCAAGATCGCTCACTCTCTGGCTCATGTCATCAGATGATAGCTCCAAAGAGGATATGCGCTGATCGTGGTCATCCATAACAAGTTTGTGTTGATCCAGTTTCGTTTCCATCCCAGTAAGCGAAGCCTTAAATTCAGCGGAGAGTGTTTCACGATGCTTCTCTAGCAGGGCTGAAATAGCTTCCATTGTTATGCTGCTAGCATTAGCCCTAGCATCTTCCTTTTCTGCAGTTTTGGCGACTTTAGGAGGCGGCATTGTGTAAATTGAATCATAGACGGGTTCTCGATTGCAAGTTGACAATTAAAAAGCGTTGGTAGAGGGCTTAATGGTGATAAAACGATGGTTTCTGCCGGAGCTCGCTCAACACGTGCACTCCATTCGGGTCACCCACCGGAAGTCCATTAGAATTAGTTTTGAGTTTATTTTTCTTGTATTAACTTTCCTTGTCTTGCATTGCTTCTTTCAGGGAGTCTATTCTACAAAAGAAATTGTGGGAGCGAGTTTCAACCCATGTGATAGAAAACATATACCTACCTGCTGCTCAAACAATGGACTCTGGAACCTTCAACACCACAGTTGACATAAAGCTGAAGCAGTGGACTGACAAGCAGCTCCCTCACAAAGCACTAGAGGTACTTTATATCTGTCCTTCTAGAGGATTAATTTATGCCTGATTGATACATGTGGAGAAAAAGTTAAAAAAATATTAAACTTGGGTATAAAAGTTCTATACACATACAATATGTCTAATTATTATTCATCATTAAATTTGTATTTTGAAGAATTGCTCATTTTCATTTGTCTCCTTCTGCATTCAAAGCACCATTGCTCCACAGCTTTGCACAGCCTCCCTGCTCTCTGTACTTGTCCTTTTAGTTTCCTATATTTTAGTTTCCTATACTGTGATTTCCCTCTTTTCAGGCTTTAGATTATGCTTATGTTTTAACTCAACCCCTTTGGCGATGGTTGAGCCTGTCCACTCAAGAGCGATTCAGAAGTGAAATGACTTTCTTTACTACTTCCTGCCTCTTTAGGTTGCCTGGGAGACGCTGCAGGAAGAGTTTGCCCGCTTCATGGCTGAATACAAAGGCAAAGACCAGGACGACATTTTTGACAAGCTGAAGGAGGCTGTGAAAGATGAGAGTATTAAGAGACACAAATGGAACGAAAGGGCCATGGACAGTCTGGTAAATATAATGGAGGCGCTGGATAATGACCACTGCATTTGGTTGTGGTGGATGTTGTGTTTCTTTTAAGAATACAGTTACAGTAGTTAATCTCTACGTATTTCATGTCAGAATTCTTTGCAACTTCTCCTATTTCTATTTTGTTAAAATATTTGAAATAATACACTTTTTTGTATGTTGAAAGGCCACGCTGAAGAGCTGTAGTCTTTCAATTCCGCACTGATGACACTTAAAGCTAGACTACCTTTTGAGTTTTTTTTTTTTTTTCATACAAATGCATTTTGCTTGTCCCAGTACAATTGTTGTCACTGGAGGTTTGAAACATCTTGAATTTAAAACAAAAAAGCTATTACAAACTCTTTGAAAATTTTAATGTCCATTTTAGGTCATGATTGTTGAATGTCCTCATCATGATCAGCAAACTTTCATTACAGACTACAGGTCCAGGATACAGGTCCAGGATAAGACAAACACACTGCGTGTGGAACTGACTGCCACACGCACGCAGTACCACATTTATAAAAAAATAATTTTATATTTCTGGCTTTCATTAAGCTGACAGATAAGCTGACAGAAACAAAGTACTTGCACTTTCCCATCTTGGCCTTTTTCAATAAAATCCTCACACAGTTGTTGTATGCCACATTGAGTTTGCAAATGTTAGCTTTTTTGTATTTGGTCCACAAGTGTGCTGTATATAATGACGTACAGTATGCTTTTAAAAGTGTCTTTTTCACCTGCGCTGTAAAAGCACCAAACCTGCGCACATCAGACGACATTGCCTGAATATGTCCTCATCATCAGACACCACTAATAAAATGTGATCAAAATATACCGGTAAAGGGCAAGGCAAGTTTTCTATACCACTATTCATACACTAGGGACAACATGCTTTCAAAACAATAAAGGAAATTTTAAATACACTCTAAAAGTATCCAAATAAATGTCAGTTGAAGGTACCCTGAATTTAAACTGTCATTGCAGAGAAAAAAAAGATAAATGTGACCTATACAATCATTAGTAACTATTTCAATATTATTTTTTACTGTATTAATGAGACACCATATTACTCTTATTTCTGTGTTCAGAGAGTTATCCAACATAATGCACTGGAAGACCGTTCCATAACAGACAAGCCTCAGTGGGACGCAGCCATTCAGTTCATGGAAGAAACCCTGCAGTCTCGACTTAAAGACAGTATGTTAATGAGAGGGCAGTAAATATTTATGTCCTCCCAAAGATCTCATCCCTTCCCTCTTCCTGTAGCGGAGTCCGTAATCCGAGACATGGTGGGTCCAGATTGGAAAGAGAGGTGGATGAACTGGAAGAACCGCAGTCCAGAGCAGGTTGGCTTTTTCTGTCATGAACCAGTCTTAACATTAAAACATCAAATAAAACATTCGGTGTTTGATAATTGACGTTGTATGCAGCACATCCGGAATGAAACTAAGAATGAGCTGGAGCGCGTACTTAAACTCCATGATGAACACACGGCGTACTTGGCGAATGACGAGGTGACAACGGTCCGTAAAAACTTGGAGGCCCGCGGTGTAGAAGTGGATCCAGTGCTGGTGAGATTAGGCTGTTTATTGAAAATGAATGTGATAATCAATTAGTTTGGACGATTTGTTTCGATTTAGTTGTTTCATTCACAAAAAAATTTGTGATTATGGGATTTTTAATCAATTTAACCACAGCCTTATTATCTTTATGAAGGCATAGGTTGGTCTCCGCTGTAAGTTAGAAGACGGCAGCATTGTATTACATTTATTTGTAAAAGATTTATTGAAAAACTGAGTCTGACATGTTTGTTGAACTGGAGCTCTGGCTCTGAACATACACAATTTTTTTTTTATCTAGAAGAACTGAACTTTGCAAGAAGATTTGAGTCAATGTAGCATTATGCTAATCTAATAATTACAAAGCTTTGTTTATGGAGATGCCATTAAATATAATACTGTGTATAATATATATATATTTTCCTACTACACGTACAGTATTTCCCCATGCGTCGACCATTTCAATATGTTACAACTCTATTTACACTTGAAATGGAGTGGGAAGAAGAAAAGCGGTTAGACTCTCACCCCATGAACACCACTCGACCTGTATTTCTCTGTGATTAGTTCCTATTGTTGGAGAGAATATTTTAATATTTTTGATATTTTTATCAGATCAAGGACACCTGGCACCAGCTATACCGGCGACACTTTCTGCAAACAGCTCTTTCACACTGTAGTCTTTGCAAGAGAGGGTTTTACTATTACCAGAGGCACTTTGTCGATTCTGAGGTAAGAACACAGTTTTTAGCCGGATTACCTGTGGGGATGTGTTTGTAAAGTATTGCGCACTCCTTACCCACAGCTGGAGTGCAATGACGTGGTCCTTTTTTGGAGAATCCAGCGCATGTTAGGAATCACAGCCAACACTCTCCGACAGCAGCTCACAAACACTGAAGGTAAGTCTTTCTAGGAGGGAAATGTCAGTAAGAGAATTGAAAGCTGATGCTGTGTATTGTTGGTGTCTCCAGTGCGGCGGTTAGAAAAAAATGTCAAGGAAGTGTTGGAGGACATTGGGGAGGACTCCGAAAAGAAAACCCAGCTCATCACTGGCCGCCGGGTCCAGCTGGCTGAGGACCTCAGTAAGAACACCTTTTTTATCTATTCTATTTAAATTGATTTCTAGTTTTAAATCATTTAATTTCTTTGCCAGTAGGTGTCAGTATTGCAGCCCTAATTTACAATTCGGCACAGGGGACGTGGAGTTAGTTAGTTCCAACCTAAGCAGGAGCACACCAGACTCCACTGATTTCCTCAAACTTTCAGGTTAAAACTGGAATCACCTGAGGAAATGGGTAGAGTCAGCTGTGCTCGTGCTTTGGTTGGAACTGAAACTTGCAGCCAAACCGGCCCTTTAGGTCAGGGGCGGGCCTCAGTCTTTATTCATGTGTGAACTTAGTGGGTAAGGCTGAAAAAAATAAGGCCACTCCTGTACCTATACACTGAACTCCCCCAAACTGGATTTCACTCACATACATGAAGGTAAATAGAGTGGTAATTAGGCGTTTATGGACTTTACTGACTCATGGCTTTAGAAGCAATAGTAAAAAGGGAGCAATGAATGGAGTTCCATCCTTTTACAACATGGAAGTTAACAGCTATGGTCCAGTTTTGTTGCCATTGTCACTTAAAACAGAAATTTAGATGAAACCTGATTTAAAGTTTGGATAAAGATTATCCTTAGGGTTGGGCCAAATAACAATATTTTAGCGAGCTTCTTGAATTAAATCTTAGTCTTCAGAGCTTCTCGTGCCTTTTTTGTCACTTGTATGGATGTATGAGACCTGTGTATGTACCTTATGTTCAACGTTTATTTTCCTTAGAAATTTAGCTTGTGTGGCAAATAAACGGGTACGCTCAAACACCCAGAAATACTGTAGTTATTTCCCTTTCGGGTTTTAGAAAGTTACTACCATTACACTCTTTTTACCAGCGTCTAACCTGTTTGTAAAGAACACATACTCACACATTCCAGGCTCCCGCTCTGATTTGCTGTTGGCGCTGGTGTTTTAGTTGTAAAGATTAAAAGATGCTGGTCTAACGAAACTGAATGAATTATGGTAGACTTTGAACTGCTTCCTTGTCTGCAGTGTCCAGAGTTCACTTAGCTGCAGGCCTGAACTCACCCCTGGAGGAAAGCAAATGCATTGTAAATCCTACATGTCCGAGCTTGCCGTCTTGTCTCTTTTGCATCTCCTTTCTCCCACCTGTTGGCATCATCTGTGTCCAGCTGACCTCCACCTTTCCTTCTACTTTAGATAATGACTAATAAAAGCACTCAAAGGCTGGGAATTTCTAGGGGACTCATGATAAGTTATGTTTTTATCATGCATCATATTCCATATTTTACAGCAAGGTTTCTCTATATTGATATTTGAAGTTCCCTGCTTCACAATCAACTTTGAGCATTTTGAAATACTCTTGATTGGGCTGCTGGATTTTCAAACGGACGGAGCACCGGTGGGGGTACACAAAAACACAGAAACACACGATCTAAGTCTTAATACAATACTTAGATTGTATTTATACTTCAATTTTTTTTTTTTTTTTTTTATGATTGTGTCTGGAAAAAAATGTCTCATTCTGCACTTCAGCTGTCCTGTCCTTTTTCAACACCAATTTTGGCTTTTATTTTTATTTCCATCAACAACTCTAATGTCACATGTCAAAAATGTGAAACGTATTCAAATAATGCAATTAGAAAACAAAGATCAATAATCTTGATTGGGCTCCAGGTTTTTTGATGGAAGTGTGCGCTAGCTGCTGGTGGTGTTTGGAGCAAAATGTCTCACGCCTTGACTTCAGCTGTTCTATCCTAATAAGCCTCAATTTACCCTTTGAGTTGAGGGCAGGACGACAAATAGTGTTGTTGGCGATACAATCAAAGTTTTCTTCTGATTCCTTCCCTTTGGTCACAGCTGAGTTATAAACATACTTTGAGTGGATGTGCAAAGATTTACCTGTGTGCCCTATTTGCAATGCCAATGTCCCGTTTCATAAATCCATAACATGTAAGACACAGCTGAAGTGCACTGCCATTCCCAGTGCGATGTCAAAGCTGTGACCCAGGGTGGGAGAGCTCCGGTTACTCCTCCGGGTCAGGTGTGTGCGCCAGTGAAAGCTTTGTTAATGAATGGTGCTCTGTGGAGAGAGAGGTGTGTGCGTGGGTCGACATGTGCCAGACCAGCTGTATGGCACTACGCCGCCTGGAGCTTAGCCCACGTCTAATGCGCCGCCACAGGCTTGAAGAGACCTCTGGGATGCTGCCGGGCTCCTTTGCCTCTGTTCATAGAAAACAGTTTGAATGGGTCTTGCCGGAAAAGGCACGGTAGTACTTAGTTTGAGAGGCAAAGGAGTATTGAATATCACTTTAGAGTTCACAGTCAAGAACATACATTTTGACTGGACCATAAATTGGTAACTTCAGAATAGTTCCCTCCCACTCTTTTTTTCTTTTATATACTAAAGTTATCCAAAACTGCTCTTATATTTACTTGCATGTAAGCTGTGTATGTATGTCTCGCGTACAGGTGAAATCCTGAAAATTAGAATATCATTCAAAAGTTTTTTTTTTTCTGTAATTAAACTTTAAATGTGAAACAAATATATGATATGGACTCCGTGCAAAGTGACATATGCCAAGACATTAAAATATGTTTTCCAAATTTTTTGGATGTAGTGTGCAATAGTCTGCCTGGTTGTTGGCGCTTGCTTATCAGAAAGCCCTAGGAGTCTCATGATGATTAATTTTCCTTGTATATGTTGTGCATTAAAGCCTCAATGCAGCTCTGTCCCACCTGGATGGCTCAGGTGTGAGTGCTGGAATGTGACGTCTTTATGATTGATTTTTGTTCATGATAATGTAAATCTTCCATGTTGCATTAATACAATTAGTAACCCTTAAAATAGTCAATCGTTTCTGCTTAGCTCTTTTATTAAAATTTAAATAAAAGGATTGGAATATTGACGGTCATGCTAAATGTTGGTAGTTTTACCCTTTGCATTTGCAGGGTGCTGTGCTTACCACAGTCTTTCGCCTGTGTTTTGTGTTATCAGACACAGGCTATAAACAGTCTTAGTCCAAGTTTGTGTTTTCCCACCGAAGAGCAAACTTCATGTCCTCCTCTGTAGCAAAATGATCAATTTTCTCTGTGGGAGATAAACATAATCTCCAGATCCGCTGTAGTCACTGCTGGTAAACAGATGGAGCCCTTGTGTTTTCTCATCTTGTTATTCCAGTAAGTATGTATGTGTGCCTTCTGACTTAACAGCTCCACCTATCGTCTATTGTGGAGAATCTGAAAGATGGGATTTCCTTGACTTTTAACAGGCTCTTGTTTAATCAATGAGGGTTTTTGTTCCCCATTAGTTGTGTAGTAAAGTTTGTTTCTTATTACTATAACCACTTCCAGGCTCCATCTACATCACATCTTTTTAGTAAACTGTCTGGTCCTCAAACATGTGACATCCTTCTCTGTGCTGCTAAACAATACAAACGTTGTATTTGTCATATCCTATCCATCTGCTACATTTGTTATGGTATGTGGCACTTTAAGATTTTAGTTATGCTTAATCCAAATAGTTGAACTGGTATTTGTACATGAGAGAATAATGCAAGGATGCTGATGTATAAATAGACCAGATTGTGAAGTCAGAGGATGGACGAGTGTGGGAAAGTGTTTAGTGAACAGTAGATGGGTTTGAGTGAAGCCTCTGTTCACGTTTTTCCCGCACAATGCAGCCACAAGAGACCGCTTTCCCCTGATCCTCCTGTCACTCAGGCGCATGCACACAAAGACCAAGCATCAGGTTTTAGAGATGAGGTAATAAAAGGACTATGCATTGTCTAAACTTAGATGTTACAACGCTTAGGCATATAGTGTTGTGCTTTATTGTTAATATTCCACCTTTTACTTCATTCTTTTTGCCACAAAAATAGTGCACAATGTAACTTTTCCATGTTGAAGGGTCTGTGATGTTACTGTATATTATGCAATAACTCTTCTGTAGAATAGAGCAGATGGTTGGACCTAAAAAAATTATAGCAAGTCAACTGGTTATAAAATGGTTATTTTTCAATATTACGAACAATTTCAAAGCAGCAGCTGTATTACTTGGGATAATGATATTGCCCGCGTCAAAAATATTACCCACGTTTTACAATACAACACAATTATAAATGGAATAAGCTAAAAGGTAGGCCGTATTTGAATTTTGTTCATTGTAATCCTTAGCTGTTTTCTATGTGTTTTCCCTGTGTCTGCGTATAACCTGAGTGATCTGGGAAGAACGAAGGAGGTGCAATTACTAAACCATTGGTCCATAAGGAAATAAAAAAAAAGTAGCCACATGCAAAACTTTTCATGGAACGGTTGACAAGTGCTATAGAAACATTTATCAATAATTGCCACATATTGCATATGTATTGCGAGGGATATATATATATATATATATATAATATATATTAATCTCCTTACTTTCATTCATTCATTCATTCATTCATATATATATCTATATCAGTGTCTTGCAAAAGTATTCGGCCCCGTTGAACCTTTCAACATTTCGCCACATTTCAGGCTTCAAACATAAAGATATAAAAATTTAATTTTTTGTCAATCAACAAGTGGGACACCATTGTGAAGTGGAACGAAATTTATTGGGTAATTTAAACTTTTTTGACAAAAAAAAAAAAAAAAAGTGAGGCGTGCAATATTATTCGGCCCCCTTGCGCTAATACTTTGTAGCGCCACCTTTTGCTGCAATTACAGCTGCAAGTCGCTTGGGGTATGTCTCTATCAGTTTTGCACATCGAGAGACTGGAATTCTTTCCCATTCTTCCTTGCAAAACAGCTTGAGGTCAGTGAGGTTGGATGGAGAGCGTTTGTGAACAGCAGTCTTCAGCTCTTTCCACAGATTCTCGATTGGATTCAGGTCTGGACTTTTACTTGGCCATTCTAACACCTGGATACGTCTATTTGTGAACCATTCCATTGTAGATTTGGCGTTATGTTTTGGATCATTGTCCTGTTGGAAGATAAATCTCCGTCCCTGTCTCAGGTCTTTTGCAGACACTGGTTTTCAT